AATAATGATCCAATATATCAGTTGCCCCTTTATAAACATGTACATCCTGGAGCCTACCCATCAACCATTTATCCACCAATACATAATCTAACAAACTACTTTCATTACGTGCTACATCATACCTTGTATATTTATTTATCCTCTTTTTCATAAAATATGTATTACTTATTACCAAATATCTTTCTACACATAGCTCAATTAAAGGTTTCCCATTTACATTTACCCCTGGCACCCCAAATTTACCTACTACTCCCTCCATAACATTTTTACCCACTCTACCATATTTAAAAAAAAAAAAAAAAAAAAAATATGGTAGAGTGGGTAAAAATGTTATGGAGGGAGTAGTAGGTAAATATGCTTCAATGTAAACACTTGATCTACACATCACCTACCCACTTTGAAACCTCCTTACTCATCCGCAATCCTACATTCTGTTTTACCTCTAATTCTTTCAATTATAACCCTACCGTACACTTTTCCTGGTATACTCAGTAAACTTATTCCTCCATAATTTTTACAATCTCTTTTGTTCCTCTTCTGTAAATTAGAAACATTGTTGCATTGCTGGGGAAAGTATAGATCCTTGTGGCAGCCCCACTGGTAACATTTTCTCAAGAGGACAATTTCCCTCTTAGATTCAGATTCAGATTCATTTATTTCTTTGCAAGTAGTACTTTGAGATTATATTTTTACAATGAAGGGTTGCAGTGCAAAGAGGGCCTCTATTATGCCTTGGCATTATGGGCTGACTTAACCCTTTGGGGATTTCGGACGTACTAGTACGTCTTACGACCCAGGGTTTTTGACGTACTAGTACGCCTAAATTCTAGCGCCCTCAAATCTAGTGAGAGAAAGCTGGTAGGCCTACATATGTAAGAATGGGTCTATGTGGTCAGTGTGCGCAGTATAAAAAAAATCGTTCAGCACACAGTGTGTAATGAGAAAAAAAAAACTTGGACCATGTTTTTGAATTAAAACAGCGACTTTGCACTGTATTTTCGTACGGTATTTATTGTTGTATTCTAGTTTTCTTGGTCTCATTTTATAGAATGGAAGACATATTATAGAAATTGAGATGATTTTGACTGGTTTTACAATGAAAAGTACCTTGAAATTGAGCTCAAAGTAGCAGAAATGTTCGATTTTTACCAAAGTTCAAAAGTAAACAAATCATGCCAAGCGTCCAATACACATCAACTGGTGAATCTAATATTCTTTCACAAGTGCGCTGATATTATTTATACCATTTCTACACTAATGCAGTAGTCTGCATAACAGTAAATCTTATTCTTTTTGTAAGAATAAAAATTCAAAGTGGAAAGCCAAAGAAATATAAGAGGGGCCTGGGGATGTGACTAACAAACAGAGAACTTGTTATTTTAGTGCCAGGAATGTTTTTCTTGTTTATTCTGGACCCTATTCAGAAATTGGCATCTTTTGAAATTTGTGTGAAATTGGCAAAATTGCTAAATTCTGACCGCTTCATTGGATAGTTGAAATCAGTACATGGGTGGATTTTTGTACTCATTCGATAGAAAAAATGGAGTTTTAGCAAAATAGTTATGATTTTTGTCAACTAGTACACTGGAATTGGCCGAAAATAGGGCTCAAAGTGGGCAAAATCGCCGATGCATAAACATCGTCGAGACCGCTAACTTCGCGAGAGCATAATTCTGTAAGTTTTCCATCAAATTTCATACTTTTGGTGTCATTATGATCGGGAAGAGATTCTCTATCTTTTCATAAGAATTTTTTTTTTTTTTAAAATTTGGCCGACCCTGAGAACAAGTCTCTGAGAGGACCTGTCGACCCCGAAAGGGTTAATTCAATGGCTTACTGACTACTTATCACTAAAGAAATTGTCATAGTTGTACAGTAGTTCTATTAATAATAAGCAAATCTAATTTAGCCATGTGTGTTGTAAGAGGCGACTAAAATGCCAGGAGCAAGGGACTAGTAACCCCTTCTCCCGTATAAATTACCAAATTTAAAGAGAGTAACTTTCGTTTTTCTTTTTGGGCCACTCTGCCTTGGTGGGATACGGCCGGTTTGTTAAAAAAAAAATACATATAATTTACACAAACACAAGGATATATTCATGTATTCTAAAATGCTTTTTATGAAACATGATTCAGGAGTAGTTTTCAGTAGTTTACAGTATGAGATTGCTACAATTTGGTGAAGGGTAATACTGGTTTTGGTATGTATACTTCTATGTGGTAATTTGTCAATATATGAGCTTGGTTGTCTAGTCATGAAGTTTTAAGATTTAGGTAATTGGCAGATTTATTAGTAGTGTTACATACTGAGTATTGAGTATTTAGTCTAGGGTGATTATGTGGCTTTTAAGAAGAGTCTTAAATTGATTTTCAGACCGAGTTACTTTGGTATTTTCTGGTAATGAATTCCAAATTTTGGGGCCCTCTATGTGCATAGACTTTTTACACAGTGTGATATGGACACGGGATATTACACAGTGTGATATGGACACGGGATACACCAAAAAGAGATCTGTGTCTTGTATTACGGTCGTGTGTCCTGTTAAGATTGGCGAGGAAAAGTTTGAGTGGAGGGTTTATTTTTGCGTGTATTGTTCTATGTATGTAGTAAGCACATGAATAAGTATGGATGTTCTTAATGGTGAGCAGATTTAGACTTTTGAATATTGGTGGAGTATGCTGTCGGGAGTGGGAATTTGTTAGCATTTTGACTGCTGACATTTGCTGGGTTATTAGTGGTCTTAGGAGATTTAATGTTGTTGATCCCCATGCACAAATTCCATATGTGAGATAAGGGTAGATGAGTGAATGATACAGTGCAAGGAGAGCCGATTGTGAAACATAGTATCGTATCGTTGATAGTATGCCTACAGTCTTATAAATTTTCTTGATCATCTGTTGTGTGTCTGGAACTTGAGGCGACTGTCAAGGTGGATTCCTAGGAACTTTCCCTCCGTGAGTCTTGTGACAAGTGATCCGTTTAGCGTTATGTTAGCGTTATGTTAAGTGGAACATTTGCAGCTTTGTTTCCAAACTGAATGAAGTAGGTTTTGTTAGTATTCAGTGTAAGTTTATCAGTCATCATCCAGGCAGATATTTTCTGTAATTCGGCATCGATTGTGTTGGCGAGTATGACAGGGTTTGGGTGAGAGAAGACGTATGTAGTGTTATCTGCAAATAATACGGGTCTGAGAAGCTGTGATGCATTCGGTAGGTCGCTGATGTAGATGAGAAAGAGGATGATCCAAGGACGCTTCCCTGTGGGACTCTGACTGACTGGTTGTGTGGAAGAGTTTGCACCATTTGTGTGCACATATTGGCTTCTGTTGCTAAGGTATGACTTTAGATAGTTGAAGGAGTGGCCTTTTATAATATAGTGTGTTAATTTAGTGTACAGCAGTTCATGGTCGACTGTATCAAAAGCTTTACGTAAATCAATGAAGATTCCCAACGGGACTTCTTTCTTTTCGAGAGCGGTTATATATTAGTTCTAGCAAGTGTATGATAGCATCACTATGATATCACTATGTTTTCCTCTCAAATAGAAGTCTCTCATTCATTAATAGTTTGACTTTTATTCCTACAAGGTTAACAATCCTAGGTAGACAGCAACTGTCCAGGGAAGTACTACTGTCCTGCCAAGTGAGTGTAAAACAGAAACCTGTAATTGGTTTACATGATTGTAGGATTGCTGGTGTCTTTTTTCTGTCTCAAACATGCAAGATTTCAGGTATGCCTTGCTACTTCTACTTACACTAAGGTCACACTACACACACATGTACAAGCATATATATATACACACACCCCTCTGGGTTTTCTCCTCTTTTCTTACTAGTTCTTGTTCTTGTTTATTCCCTTTTATCACCATGAAGTGGAACAGAATTCTTCCTCTGTAAGTCATATGTGTCATAAGAGGCAACTAAACTGCAGAGAGCAAGGAACTAGTAACCCCTTCTCCTGTATATATTACTAAATTTATAAAGAGAAACTTTTGTTTTTCTTTTTGGGCCACTCTGCTTCATTGGGATATGGCCAGTGCAGTGAAAGACAGAAGAAGAGTTAACAATGTAGAAATGAGTGAGACAGTGCAAGGAAGTAGAAAATTTATGTCATCATTCAAAAAATCACTAGCTCACAATGAAGTGCAAGTGTATCATGCCATTAACATAGTGGCATTTCAATGGCATGATAATAAGGGATGTAATAATGTTGACAATCCTACAAATACTTGCAACGAAGCAAACTGGAAAGATGAACAGACAAAAAGAAGAACCAATTGCAAAAAAAAAAAAATGCAATTATTGATTACATAAACACGTTTGATTGATGAATCAAAAGTGTAAATTATCAGACATCTGGATTGTCAGAAAAAGTTTCAAGTGGTACATGAAACTATTTTTCCACCTCTTACAAACAGCAATGAAAAATGCTTACAATTTGGTACCAGAAAACCAAAACAAAAGAAAGATACAAACTATTATTGTAAAGTACAGAACAAGAGTAAACAGATGAAGGCTGAATAAGTAACTGTTATAGATCAGTGGTTCTTGACTAGAGGAGGGGGGGGGGGCACTTTCTAGGTGAGGAGGGGATGCAACCCCAGAACAATAATAAGGAATATGTTGTATATTTGCAATTTGCTCTTTAAACAGACTTTTGAATAGTTAAAAATAGTAAATTTAAGAATTAAAACTAGTTCCTCTATTTTCCTATCTAAATAAAGAGGACCTTTTTAATTTTTACATTTAGAATTTTATATGAAGGATGGGGGTAACATGAAGATGAGGACCAACTGCAATAACGAGGTGTGACCCAAAATAGGTTAAGAACTACTAGTTATAGATTCATATGTAAATATGATAAAAGTCAATTTATAAGAAGCTGATCAAAGAATTGAAGTTCACCCCACAAATAACTGAAATAGACAACTTAAGACAAATTCACAGAAAACAATAGGTTTGCTATTAAGATATATAGTAGTTACATAATTTATAACCTTACCCATCTGGTAGAGGAACTTTCTTCTGAGCTTTAGGAGCCACTGGATTAAGTTCACCTGTCATCAAAAGGGCCAAATCTGCTCCTACTTTATCTCCATGCTTGTGACATTTCTGAACATAAGTCACTATATGAACAATGCAAGATGCACGTTCCTGCACCTCAAGATCTCCAGATGACACAAACACTGGCAAACGCTCCAACAACAAATTTGTTACCTGATTAAAATAAAAATAGTATAAATACAGTATAAATAACAGTAAAAAAAATTTTAAATCAAAATAAACACACAATGGCTGAGATATGGTATGCAGCAACAAGTACACAAAATGATAATAGAAAATGAGTTAAATAAATGCCGAGCTATATTTTATCTCGGATATAAAAACACTAGCCCCCCCCCCACCAAGGCATTACTGGATTTTCCGGCATATAAGGTGCAAAAGCACAGGAGGTGTACCTCAATCTTAGCAGGCATATTCTTGGAAAAATAAAAAGCATTACTTGCTTCAAAATGATAAGTGAGCCAATACTCACCTATATGTGGTTGCAAGGGTCAAGTCTTAAGTTCTGGCCCTGCCTTCAAACTTGTCCTTGTTAAATTCACTCTAAGCCTCATAGGCCCTATCATACCTATTCTTAACCCTTTCAGCAGCTCTCGCGTAGAATTACGTCACTGAGGCCAGGGTCCCTCGCATACTTCTAGGTCATGAGCTCAGATCACTCAGGTAAGTTGTGAGTGGTAAATGTTGGCCTAGATATGAGAGAATGGTTCTGTGTGGTGAATGTGTACAGTATAAAAAAATCTTGCCCCATGTGGAGCATGATTAAAAAGCAAAACTGACCATGTGTTTGGTGTTGTCTGCTCCACTGCCAAATCAAACATGGCTACCTGTTATTTACAGATGGCTACTTTACAATTATTTACAACTGCAGAAGCCAGTTAGCTTATTACATACCAAAAACTTTTAAACTATTTTAAAATAGTTATTATAATCGCTAAGTAATCTGGGAAAGAGTTTTGTGTGGGATGAAGGGTCAGAGTTTAGTTTATCAGTACTGCAGCACTGTAACCACCACTTGTCAATAGCCCAAAGCCTACCCTTGGTCCTGACCTTGGGTATACAAGGCACAAAAAGAAAGCTAGCATCAGGTAGGGTAGGCTCCAAAACCTGGTGGTCCCTGGTCAAGGACAGACAAGGTTATCTGCCTGATGAACTCATTCCACCTCTAAACTGACAGGATGGGACCACCTCTACTAGTAGTCAAGAGAAGGCGGACCTCTTTGCCGAACATTTTGCTACCAAATGCAAGTTCCTGATCCAGCAAGGGACCCTCCTTGGCTAGCTGCAAGAACTGTGTCAAAACTGTCAGTGGTGACAATAAGGCAGGAGGAGGTGCATTTCCTTCTTAAATCGCTTGACCAAGAAAAGGCTGTGGGCCCAGACAAGTTGAGCCCAAGATTGCTGAGAAGATGTGCAGACCAGCTAGCAGCACCTCTAACTCGCATCTTTCAGCACTGCCTAGTACAGTGTAAATGGCCCTCTCTGCGGAAAGAGGAAAATGTAGTCCATCCACAAAAAGAAGAGCAGAGCAGAAATCAGCAACTACAGACCAGTGTCACTCCTGTCAATCACTGGTAAGATCCTTGAGACAATAATCTCAAGACAAATGACACAGTTTTTGACTCCCAAACTCACTACTTTGTGACGTCAATAGGGCCTTCAGGAAAGGTTACTCTGCTGCTGATCTGTTGTTAAACCTCTCCACTAAGTGGCACCAGTCACTGGATGAATCCAAAGTCAGCTGTGTGGTAGCACTGGACATTGCTGGCGCTTTCGACCGGGTGTGGCACCAGGGCCTCTTAGCAAACTTCAAACACTGGAATTGCAGGCTCTACGCTATGTCTCCTCAGTGATTACCTTCGTGGTAAATCTCTAAGGGTTGTTCTCAATGGAACTGAATCAGCAAGACATCCTATTGGGGCAGTGTTGCACAAGGAAAGCGTGCGGGGGCCATTGTTATGGAATGTCAAACTTCAACGACCTTCTTATCTCATCCCAGAATCCCATGCATATGCAGATGACTGTACACTGACATTCACTTATCCAAGAGAAAAAATGCCAGTGCTCTAAACTACATCAATCACCAGCTAAGAGTATATCAATTTGGGGAAAAAAGATGGCAAGTAAATTTGCACCTGAGAAAACGAAATGATGATCGTCTCTAGGCAAACCTTTATGGTAATGCTGGTGCAGTAGTAAGGATGAATGGGAGGGTGTTGGCACCTGGAGAAGAAGTTGATATCCTTGGGGTGAAATCTGACTCCAAACTAACCATGAAGAACCATGTTGTAAACCTTACAAACAAGGCAGCCAGGAAGCTTACAGCACTTCGCCGTATCTCGCATCTGCTTGACAGCAGGGGTTGTAAGATTATGTACGAGGCACAAGTACGCTCACACCTTGAGTAAGCTCCACTTTCTTGGTTTGCCTGCCCCCCCTCTCATCTGCGACTGCTCGACAGAGTAGAGAACAGAGCAAGACGTCTCATCTCTTGCCTGGACCCATCCTGGATAGATCTGTCATTTCAGCAGAGCCTTCAACACAGGAGGGATGTGGGTGGCCTTACTGTTATGTACAAGGCCAATATTATCTAAGTACCACACTTGGATCCACTTCGAGGACAGCGTGAAACAAGCTTTTATACCACAAGATGGGCAGAAAGCAGCAACTTCACTCTGGCTGTACCCTTCTCCAGAACATCACTCCATCTGAGATCATATATACCCAGGATGACTCGAGTATGGAACACATTCGTACAGCATAATGATGTCAACGAGATAAAGTCAGTTTATTAAATGAAAATGCTGGGCCACAGATGGCTCCAACTTCATCCTGTTCCCTACTTGTATGTCTCATAACAATAAAAATGCTTTCAAATGAGCTGATGTAGGTAACAGCTCTTAGCTTGCCAATAAAGTTAGGAATCCTTAACCTGTAAATAGCTTGTCAATAAAGCAAGGGATCCTTAACCTAACCTTGTCAAACCCTGTGTATAAAAAAAAAAAAAAAAAGCATGCCAGGATGATTTTTTTTTACTTTTTTTTTTTCTTCTTGGAAGGGAAAAATGGACCTTACCTGCCATGGTTGTCTCTCACCGAGGCAGGGTGACCCAAAAAAGAAAACTCTTTCACTATCATACACTTCATCACTATCTAGCTAGATGCATGCAGACAATACAGTTTAGAGGCTCTCTCCAAACTGCAAATATCTCCACCCTTCCTTCAGAGTGAAGGCACTGTACTTCCTACCTCCAGGACTGAAGTCTGGCTAACCAGTTTCCCTGAATCCCTTCACAAAATGTTACCTTCCTCACACTCCAACAGCTCTTCAAATCTCAAAATCCATTTGCCTCCATTCACTATTATCTAACACACTCTCACACACAAACCTCTACATGTCCAAGCCCCTAACACAAAACCTCCTTTACCCTCTCCCACCAATCTTTCCTACGGTGACCCCTATCCTGCATTCCCTCCACTATGGATTTATACACCCTTAAAGTCGTCCTATTTTCTATCCTCTCTCAATGTCCAAACCACCTCAATACCTTCTCAACCCTCTAGATAATACTTTCAGCAACTCTACACCTCCTCCTAATATTCAAATTACGAATTCTTTAACCATTTCAGGGTTTCCGACGTACTAGTACGGCTTACGCACCAGGGTTGACGTACTAGTACGCATAAATTCTAGTGCCTTCAAATATAGCAAGAGAAAGCTAGTAGGCCTACATATGAAAGAATGGGTCTATGTGGTTAGTGTGCACAGTATAAAAAAAAATCCTGCAGCACACAGTGCATAATGAGAAAAAAAAAACTTTGACTATTTTTGGTTTAAAACAGTGAATTTGCACTGTATTTTTATATGGTATTTATGGTTGTATTCTAGTTTTCCTGGTCTCATTTTATAGAATGGAAGACATATTACAGAAACTGAGATGATTTTGAGGTTTAAAAATAAAAAGTACCTTGAAATTGAGCTAAAAGTTCAAAAATTTTAATTTTTTGCCAAAGTTAAAAAGTAAATCTCCCCACGGCCCAATACCGTCAACTGGCGAGTTTTTAATTCTCTAAAAGTGGGTATTTTTTGTACCATTTTACACAATGCGTAGTCTGATAAACAGAAAATCTTTTTTTTTGGAAAATAAAAATTAAAAAGTAAAAGCAAAAAAATGTGAGAGGCCTGGGGACATGACAAATGAAAGGGGAAAAATGTTATTTTGTCCCAGGAATGTCTGTTTTGTTTATTTTGGACCCTTTTTTGGAAATTGGCTCTTTTGAAATTTGTGTAAAATTGGGCAAAATTGTAATTTTGCCCACTTTATTGGTATTTGAAATCGGTAAATGGGTGGTTTTTGTACCATTTGATAAAAAAAAAATGGGTTCTAGCGATATTTTTATGATTTTTGTCAACTAGTACACGGGAAATTGGTGAAAATGGGGCTAAAAAGTAGCGAAATCGTGAGGCGTAAAACATCGTTAGATGTAACTTTGGGAGCATAATTCGTACTTTCCTCAAATGTATTTTTTTGGTGTATTAGACGGGAAAAGATTCTCTATCTTTTCTAAAAAAAAAATTTTTTTTTTTTTTTCCAAAAAAATTTTGGGCCCCTAGAACAAGTTTAGGGGTCCCTCTGGGCCCCTTTTTTTTTTTTAGATTTTGCCAAGTGGGGCTGTTTATTGTGCCCCCCAATCCACCTGTGGTCGGTAGGCGAGAGAAAGGGATACACAAAAGGCCCTAGGAACGGGCCCCAAAGGGTTAACAGGAAATCATTGGATTTATATTACATATCTTAGTTCATTTCTGTTAAGAAAATTTAGGAAATTTGCTTAGTATTTGGTATTTATTTTCATTAATAAGATATCTTAAAAGTCACATAGGTTATTATACTGTCTGTTTGTATTCCTAAATAAGGGCAATTAGCAATAGTGTTAAAGGAGTGACCAAATGCCTGATCAATAATTTAATTTAGTTTGTCTCATCTGTGTGTCCCCAAAAACTGCCAAAAGTACTTGAAACCCAAACCCCAAAGCCGGCCCACTACAACATCAGTCGGTTGTTCACATTGAAAGTTGCCCTTAAAATACTTATCTCGTTCATGTTTCATAGTGGGTTATAGATCTACTCAGGCTTCAAACTGCATTCCTTAAAAA